ATTGGCCAATTTGCTATAACAAGAGTATTTTTATTATATTTGTTCAAAAAATTTGTTATATCAAAAGTTTGCTATATCACGAGTTAATTGTAAATATTATAACTTAAATTAAAAAAGAATCATGAGTTATAGGTAGTTACTAGTTAAAACACTATAGCATCTATAGTATCAATTAAGATTTGAGAGGTTTAAGTTTAATTCTTAAGGTGATTTTTGACATATAGTCAACCCTCTTTAAATGTATCCTCTCAGAACCATAATGAAAATTTTAAAAAATGTGTATTTAAAGAGAGTGTGCATTTAAAAAGAAAATTTTTATATGAATTCTATATGCTTGGTACTAAACAAGAGTATGCATTTAAAGAGAAAATATATAGTTTATGCATTTAGAGAGGATGCATTAAGAGAGGGTTGACTGTATATAGTTTGCACATCTTATTAAATTCATTTTCAGAATTAAATTTGTAAATTTTGTAATAAATTAATATTGCAATCTGTACTTAGCAAGTACTGTACTAGGATTTATTGTAATGTAATCTAAAATAGGAACTTATACTTTATAATATAAATCAAAAATACCAATTTCTTGATAAGAAAAATATACAAATTTTAATTATTTAAATAAAAAATATTTTATATTTTACTAATTAATTAACATTAAGATATCTATCATAAAATTAGAGAATCATTTATCAAAATTATTTTTCTTTATATTTAAACAAATTTTATATAAGAAAATTAATATGCATATGTATAATAAACTAATTACATATTTTGATATATCACATTTATAAATTATTCTACTTTAGTATAAACTATAAAGATAATTAATTTGTTCTAATCTATATTTTTTACTAAATAAACTAAAAAAAATTTAAAATAAATTAATACGGACTTGAAGATGATCAAATAAGTATTTGTCTTTTATAAAGTTAATTAAATTATATTTAGGTAAATCTCCAAGATATTTATAGAAATTTGTATTATATTGTTGACATCTTTCATAGAGATTATTTTTTGTTAAAAATAAAGTAAATTATATAAATTATATAATAAATCTATAATAAATAAAAATATATTATTATAAATTATTTTTTTTCAAAAAGTTCATTTTGATATAATTTTGGATTAAGGTTTTTAAAAAATAAATAAATAAATAAAAAGGTTAAAAAATTTAAGTAATCAAATTAAATTATGATAATTAGAATTTTACAATTTGATTTGATGTAATATTTAAATATTTAATTTGAAAACAAATTTAAATATATCTTTAAATTTATTTGAAACCTGTTTATTTAATCAGTTAAGCCTTAAACAATATTTTTGAAATGAAAATCTATTATCTATTAGATAAAATAAAGAAAATAAAAGTTAGAGGAAGTATTAAAAATATATGAGATACAAATTATAATTAATAATAATAAATAAAAAAATAAGATAAATATGAGAAGGAGAATCAAAACAGCTACCCAAAAAAGAAGCTTATATAATAAAGATAATGTTGCAATTAGTTGCATTATATGATGCTTATTTATTACTGGTTGCAACTAGTTGTAACTCAATTTTTATTAATGTTGCAATTAATTGCAACTCTATAATGCTATTTATTACCAGTTGCAACTAGTTGTAATACCATTTTTATTCATATGTGCAAAATTCACAAAATTTAATATTTATCAAAGGAGACTATACGTTAGAATATTTTTGGATCAAATAATAAATTCATAAGAGGTAATCTATCAATGCAATCAAATCATTACCCTAAGTCTAATAATAAAGATATCCATGAATGCATCTTAACTTTAAACCTTATTAAGATCCTTAATCTACATAAAAACCTAAATCTTATTATTAAATAAAAAACAGTTTTAAAATAAAAATAAAACAAAAAAAATAAGAGAGGATTTGTTAAGGTGAAAAGAAAAAGATATAACTAAATATCATAATTCTAACATTATGAAAAGTCTGATATAATTACTTCACTCATTAATTATATTTAACTAGTGACAAGCTTTAGGCAATGCATTTTTTGAAAAATCTACCACCTATTAGATAAAATGAAGGAAAAAAAAGTTAGCAGAAGTATTAATAATATATGGGAGGAAAACTGTAATTAATAACAATGAATAGAAAAATAAGGTAAACATGAGAAGGAGACATAACAACTACCTGAAAAAGAAGCTCATGTGTGCAAAACCCACAAAATTTGATATTTATCAAAGAAGTTTACATGTTAGAACACTCTTGGGTCAGATTGGCAAATCACAGGAGTAATCTGCATCAATGTTCATCAAACCGTTACCCTAAGTCTGACAACAAAGATGCCACATGAAATGCTTTTCAACTTTAAACCTTATTAAGATCCTCGATTTATATGAAAACTAAATCTTATTGTTAAATAAAAACAGTTTTAAAATAAAAATAAAACTTACCTAAGTAAGGGAAAGGGTCATTAAAGGGGAAAAGTAAAAGATACTTCCTTTATAATAATAGCTAAACCCATAGTCTAACGTTATGAGAAGACCGTTTCACTAAGGGGAGGAGTCGTTAATTGGGAAAAGAAGTTACTTCACTTGACACCTAAGAAATACTGTCATTATTGTTGGACGGTATATAAAATTTCTCTTCAGTTACGGCAAATAAGAGTTTGGAAAGTGTGGGGAAAGGCGTGTCCAAAGTTTTTTCTGAGAAAAACTTGAAGACGTCCTTAAAGCTGAAAAATGATTTTTTATACTTAGTATCGAAGCGTAAATGATTACAAATCGAATATTGTTACAGGACCTAATTTAGAGTTAAATAATGTGAATAAAGTTAATATTGGGCCTTTCACTCATGTCATTCCCTTACTAATTTAGGGATATGTCAAAAATCTCTCGTTATACCCAAAAAAAAGCAATTATATACTAAGATTTATGAATAATAAAATTTTTTAATTAGATATAGATAAGATGGGACGATAAACGCCTTTTTCAACAATTTACGCGACTTTGTTAGAAGAAATAAAGTTTGCCTGAATTTGGATATCAATTGCTGCAGAACTGAAAATATGAAAAAACTCTTGCGTTGCTTTGGTATCTGCGGTTCGATTTATCCATTTTTCAAGTATCTATCAGCGACTCGTTACGCATGAAAAAGATTCTGCTTTCTTTCAACAGGATAATGGTAAAGATCACATAGAAGATTACCATGGATGTTTTATTTGATGAGTTCATAATACCAATATTAAATTAAAAACGGTAACAGATATTAAGAATAAAGCTAAGGATGGTAAGAAATTCAAGGTTTTGAAAAATGGTCAGGCCTAAGTCTTTAAGAATATTTACATTTGTGGCAGACCTGGTGAAGCTAACCATAACAGAAAGTTGAGGAATACGACATATTTATCCTATGAGGAGATTGCCAAAGTTATGTATTTCCTCAAGATCAAAGCATATAACGTTTTACGCGACATCAGCTCCTGTTCGAAATTTAAAGGGTCTCAAAATTAATCACGATTTAACTTTTTCAAAAGGAATATATTTTCTTGCATTTATCGTAATAGTTTTATTAACACATAATATATAATGCATCAGGAAAAAATAAAATTTTACGTAATTTGATATAAAGCAACAATTGTTTTTTGCCCACATTCGTAAGATGAGCGGTTTAAATTTTCATTCCAATAAAAAAATGATTAGATTCTGCGTATACTGCGCGTAAATTTGCCACCTCGCCCACACGAGATTTTTTTTACCTTTTTCCTCGCAATTTTATTTAAATGGAAAAATAAAATTGATCATTTAGTCACGTGATGATATTTATTTTTATCAACAAAAATTTTTAGATCTAGATCAGATAGAAAATATCAATGTATTTTCGATCTCGATTGACAATAATAAATCAAAGAATTGGATTAACTTTAAGTCATCCAATTCAAACGAATTTCAAATTATCTCGACCGCAATTTACAGTATTTCAAAATTATGCTGCTTCGACTAATTCTTCAAAAAAGGACAAAAAGGACAAAAAATCTGGAAAATTTATGAGAACTTCCAAAAATGAGGAAAAAGTAAAAATATCTCGAAAGAAAAAAGAACCTTTACTATCAAAGGACAAATTAAGCACAATATATAATGAATTATCTCAAGATTTATGGCAAAGTAGAACTTTATCTGCCAAGCTCTCATTAGAATCTCCAACTTTTACTGAAGATGTTGACGAAGTTATTGAGTCGCATAAACCAATAAAGAAATTATTAACAACTGATGAACATCAAGAATTGATAATAAAAATAGATAAAGCTTTCATTGTACCGCAACTCAAATCATTCCTAAAAAAACGAAGTAAAAGTTTTTCTGGACTAAATAAAAACAAATTAATTGAAAAGCTTATCTCTGAAATTTGGAAAATCGAGAAAGTTGTAGAGGAACAATGTTAGTAATTTACCTTTGTTTTGTCTTATAATTTATTATATTACTGATATATTTTCTTTCTTAAATCATTAAATTTACAAGCTAAACCAATTGATTTATTTTTCATACTTGGCCCAGGTTGAATTGATGTATTTATTGTTATCTGAGTAGTCATAATTTGATATCTTTCTATAATTTGATTTTACACTGCCTTTATATATTATTTGATTTTAGAGGAGAAAGCCTTACGAGAAATAAAAAACAAATCCAATGTTAAAATTCTGATTGATTCAGAAAGTTTATCATACAAAATTATTGGGTTTTCACAAAATATTGAAAAAGCAAAAGAGATGATCAAAAATATGACGGTATCTACATGTAATATTATTCGATAAATATTCCTTTTTTTGAAAGCTAATTCCTTTTACTATTATCTAGATCTATCATACTGCTACTATGGAATTACCTTCTCATATCAAAGACAATAACAAGAGCCTGCAAGAAATAATGCCATTAGTGCAAGATATTTGTTATGCATCGGAAACGTTTATTGAGGTTGATGCAAGCAGACAGGTTATTAATTTGAACTATATCCTTTTATTATTTTGTTGTTTGAAATTGAAGAAGTTCTAATAAATTTTATTTCACGTCAATAATGTTTACAGTTTGTAGTTTCGGGAAGATCATATCAAGATATCAAAGAAGCACTAAGGTTGTTAAATGTTGCTTTACATAAGGTAAACTCGATACTAGAGAGATTATTTGTTCGTTGGTTAACCCATTTAACATAATTTTTTAATTTCCTTCAAGCCTGATCGAAATGAGACAGATTTGGTTTTATGTAACGAATCGCAGGATTTTAATGAATACAGTTTTTTCCCTATTCACGATTCTGAGATCATGTCGCTCTATAACCGAAACTTAAATTGGCATCGTGTTGGTAGAATTGATCCCAAAGTGGTATGTGCGAGAATTACGGAACCACTAAATTTAAATCATTGTATTTTAGAGTGAAATTTTTAATTTTTTCGATAGTCAACTTTAGGCGAACATTTATATACTTTACATGAAAGTGAAAGGTATCTACATCATGAATTTTTGACGCGATTTTTAAAAATAAATTTTAACAAAGTAAATTTAGTTTCTTGAAAGAACCTATGCCGTTGCCTTTTTATTTATCCGATGCGCCAAACAAGGTAACAAACATGAATAAACTTGGAATTTTTCTGAATGAGTTTTTAAAAGAGTCTAAATTTAAATCGAAACCTGAAATTTGTTCCATGTAAGATTTACACTTTCCTAAGATATTTTACAATATTTAAATATATACCTTTCAACGATTTTAAATCATCTCAAATTTTATCGTAGGTTTGGATATAAAGTTTTCCACGACGAGAAAAATGATGAAAAAAATTTATTTATTCCTCCATTATCTGGCAATTTCTCTCGTGAAATGCTTGAAAAGTGGATCAAAGAAAGCAGCCATTTAAGAACATTTCTTCCTAGGTAAATGCTATGTCATTGTCTAAAGATACCGTCACAATTGTTATTAACTGGTTTCTAATCCTTTAGTTACCCGTACCCAAATTTCTTGACATCCTTGATGGACCCTATATCGAAATTTCAAAAATCTGTTCAGTTTGATTATTTACCATTTAAATCAAAATCCGAATCATCATGTAATCAAAGGTTAAGTATATTGTTAGATGTAACCGATTTAAACCTTAAGTTTAAGGAATCAAATATACTGAAAAAACGATTCGTGGTGGACTTATTAATGATGAATAGGTAAGGGATATTCGTTTATTTTGACGTTAGCATCATTTTTACCGTTATTGTTTATTAGATGTCTTTTTATAGTCCGACAGACTTGAGATTGTCTGCGATCATTAAGGAATCAGTTGATAGATCATTCAACATTGATAACTTTCTCAAAGAATGTTCATATATAAGGTATTTTTAACGATGACAGCGCTTGGATTCTTGATATATCATTAATTCTTGATCTTATTTAGTCCCCGAAATATTCGATGTCCTAGAGAATATGTTTTTAATTTTGGAAGTGAAGAAGGAAAAAAAAATATTCCATATAATCTTGAACGTATGAAGTTTTACACTACTAGTCAATATAAATATAATGGATTTACTCTTTCCGTAAGCAAAATTTCAGAACTAGAAACTAATTTCGATAGACCAGAAATTAAGGTAACAATATTTACTTCAATTGATATTTATTTTTACATAAATAATATAATAATCATTTTTTTTTTTTTTTTAAAAAAAAAAAAAAAATTAGTTAATTTACGAACCAGCCAATATTACAAAATCGCCAATTGAATTTCTAGCCAAATCTTCTGAAGAAGAAAATCGCAGTTACTTAGAAAAATGGGAAAATTTCATTTCGGTATCATTAGCAATTGTTAATAGTATAGGAAATAAATGATTTATTTTGATAAGCGAAGCTAAAGACGTTAAAATTATCTCCACAATAAAAAAACGGAATCTAATTTAATTTATTTTTAAATGCTTTCTTGTAAAAAATGATTTTTTAAGGAAGAAAAATTTTCGGTTGTAGCAGACGTGAAATAAGCCCAAAACAACTTCTGATAACAGATACAATATTACGGCTCTCAGATACTCTGCAAATCAATATAATGTGCCATGGAAACTGCAAGTTATCTTATAACAATAATATTTGCAGCATATAGATTTACACATATTTTGTAATGATATAGATGAAAAACATTTATTTTGATTTTTTTGGTAATCATGTGATAATTGTGAATTGATGAAATTATGGGATTACATGTGACTTGGACAAATTCACGCTGATGTTTTATTGTCTCTCACGAAGATTTTTGAAAAGAAGCATGAGAAAATATTTGAAGAAAATCCGAGAGAATAATATTATTTTTACGATCATCATCGGATAAAGGAGCGTTACCTTCACGTTCAATAATAGCTGTTTGATAACCAGCAGATCTAGCGGCAATAATTTCCTTAACATTATCACTAAGAAACAAAATTTCATTAGGTTCGATTTGAATTTCTTTAGCGATTTTTACATAACTAGATTTTTCAAGTTTTGAACCAATGGAAGTATCAAAATAACCATCAATGTAACCTAATAAATCACCTTTATCCGAATTCTTAAATATTAACTTTTGTGCATTTATACTACCAGATGAATAAATAAAAATTTGAATTTCAAACTCTCCTTTCCACCTTTTAAAAGCTTCCAATACATCTTCAAATATTTCTCCTTTTAATTCCCCTAATTCAAAACCTGATTCCCACATAAATCCTTGAAATGATTTAAGAGATCCTATCTTTCGATCAATCTCCATTTGCCATTTAATATTTTGTATAATGAAATGTTTAATTTCATCCATTTCATTTGATTCCGGGATTAGAATCGCATCAGGTAAATTATTATTTACATCTTTGATTGCTTGTTCCCTTAATAATTGAACCTTTTGTTGTAATTCTGGTGAATTCCAATTTTCATTCAAGAAATTTTCCAAATTATTTGTAACATATGGAAATAACCGTTCGTGAACAAATGAAATTGGTGTAGTTGTTCCTTCAATATCAAGAAGAACGCATTTAAAGGTAGGTATTGTTGTTGACATTTTCTATTGGAATTTGAAAAAGAAAAAAAATCATTCAACTTCTATATTTGAATAGAAATCAAATGATTGGCTGATGACTTGCCCGATCAAATCTAGACTTGTATTTTGAAGTAAGACAAGAAAATTATTCATAAACGCGTATATAAAGGAATGCTGCGCAGTTATCGGTCGGTAAAATAAAAACGCTTTTTATCGCACTTTTAACAGCAACCCCTCCCCATAAAACTACCTTCAAAAAAAAAAAAAAAGTTTTCTTTCTTGGAAATGACTTCTAAACCTAATTTGTAAGTTCTTACCTAATATCTATTATGAAAATTATTATATTATTATATAATTACTCAAAGAAAAAAATAATTTAGAACACTTCAAAAAGAATTAAGTATGTTTATGTTTTCATGATTTTTTTTAAAAAAAAACTCCGAATTTTTATTTATTAATTATTTTTATTTTTTTAAAAAAAAAAAAAATAGACAAATCAAGTCAAAAATTACGACAAGGATTATTTGATAATTCAAATGGACAATTAATTCATGTATCCCATGCTCTAACGCAAACCTCTGATAGTTTGTCAAAAATTCAAAAATCAATTGAGGTTGTAATTTGTCATTTGTTTTATTTATTTACTCTTTCAATTTCTAATTTTTTTTTTTTTTTTTAAAAAAAAAAAAAACAAAGGAATCGAGAGATAATATCAAGGTAATTGAAAGAGATTTAAAATCTTTGAAAAATATTATATGTAAACTCGATCCAAGTTTTGTTCCGAATATTATAAATTCATCAGATCAACAAATTGAAGCAAAATATGTAAATTAGATAGAAATATTTTTATTATTATTCATTCTTTTTTTGTTTCACATTTAAATAAAATATTTATAACCAATATTTCTCTCATAATTTTGGTTATAAAAATTAATATATATATCATTAATACTAACATAAATATATAATATACAAATATTAATGTCTAAAATAATTTTTTCCAAAGATCCATTACGATTTACCAAATTTCGGTGTCTTAGTACCTGTACCATCTGAAGGGAATCTGTAAAATGCATCTTGAATTTCATTCAAGAAACTGTTCAATACCATCAAATATCATAAAAGAATTTTAGCAACAAATAATCTAATTAAGCAACAAAGGTGAAGATAAACTTATTAAACATACCTATTACTATTGTGTACTGTAGTTCCACCTAATACAATACGAACTCCAGCAGTTGATTCATTTAATTGAGCGATATATCGAGCTTCTTCATAAGTAACTCCCCCAACCATAAGTATGATAATATCTTGTGGCCTAAAGATAGGGAATGAAAACATTATTCCCCATAAAAAATTATTAAATTGAAAGGTTCGCTAAAAAATTACCTGTCTTTGGTCGACCCATCAATAAATGGGTAACTAGTTTCTTTCAATTTGCCTTTAATTAAAAATTCAAGCGTCTGCGAAAGATGTGGAGAGTGTTGTGTATATACATTCTCAACTCCCTAATATAATACACGAGTTATATGATGATAATACAATATAAATTTATCATGGAAATTTTATACAATATTACCTTCAACCCTTTAAAAACATTTCGTCCTTTAGACAATAAACTCTCATTCGAGAATAAATCATCCTGTCTTTGATCAGATCCAGCAAATGTTAACATTGATCCAATCAACTAATTCATATGAAAAAAGTTTTAAATTTTTTTTTAAAAAAAAAAAAAAAAAATCCAACATTAGATACATACAGAAATCTTATGCTCGCTAACACCATGATGTCGTAACAGATCAATTAATGAGAAGATGTCATTATTTGGTGATTTTTCGTATCGCAAGGAATATAATAAAGTTAGTCGAATCTTACTATCATCTGATACTTTAGGATTCGCTATAAGCTTTTGCAAACTCTGTAAATTGAATTATTAAGCTTTAAATTCAATGATACAAATTTCATAAGAATAAACGAAATGTGAAATGATCTCGACCTTTAAATCGTTATTGTGCTGCTCATAACAAGCCAGACTCTGCTCCAATTCACTAACTTCTAATAGATTTTCCTTTTCCACCAGACGACTTAATTCGCTAACCAAAGCTACATGCTTGCCCACGTTACCAGATAGTTTTCTGAATTCAGGATATCCTTCTAAAAATCGCTTCATGTCGCCGATAGACTCTATATTCATACTCGATTTAGTTTTTGCCTGATACTCCTCAACGTGTGATTTGATATTAGCACCCAGATCTCCAAGATTCAAGTACATATTTTTCTTGTAAAATGGATCTTGATCTCTAGAAAGTACGATTTCCTTTTAAGAAAAGTATAAAGGTTTATTTATTTTTTCAAGATATATCAAATTCGGACAAAAAAAAAAACTTTTAGCATACATACAAACCTTCAATTCCGGACGTATATCAGGAACATCCGATAAATCCACGCGACCGTTATGGATGCCAAGTAATTCATGGACCATCGCTTGGTAAGTCCATTGTGATAACAAAGGAGTGACTGGATCGTTCCGACGATCTAATATAAGTAATATCGGTGGAGTATCCGTTCGACGAAAATCAAATAGTTGTCCTTCACTCTGAATATTGTACTATAAATACAAAGATAATGTGTAAGGTCCAAATTTCACGCAAGTTATTAAATATTTCAACGGAGGGTTAAATATAGGTCATACAAGAACTTCTGTTGCGAGTTGCTTTGCCATGACACTCATCTTCTCGTAACGTATCAAAGGTTTTTTCTTTAATGAAAGTAAAACGGCAAGTACACCTTCAACGACTCGACGAAACGTTTTACTATCCCATTTATTTTGTGAGTCATCATAAAGTCTATGCTGTTGTAATGAAAGATTCAAAGAAAAAAAATCAGGATTGATCGCACAATAATCTGCGAAATATTCCTAAAAAAATATAATATTTGTTTGTTTACCGTTAGTAACCGCTTAGAATGCGTGGATAAAACAAAAATTGAGGTTCTAAAAATTAGATGATACCTGCACTTCGCGAACAACTTCGTGTTCGTCCACCTCAGCCAATCTTTCGATTAACGACGGTTTCAATGTATTACTAAAGTCTAATATAGAAATAATAAATATATAATAACTCTCAAATAAAGTGGTCGGCTGCAAATAAGAATTGCATCCATTCTGGTCGCGCCAATACTTCAAGGGTAACCTTTCTAATACTTTACACCAGAACTTTAATTCTAAATGGATAAATCATCATTAAACTTACATAAGTAATAATCTCCATAGCTGGGATCTCTAAGTTCTTCAACCAACAACTGTATGGTCTCATTGGTAGGGCGTAGAAAACAAATGCATTTAAGGTGTCGCATTCTATCGCGATTTCGATTATCAATTCGATCGACCAAATAAGTTTCATGTGATAAAAGGCTAGATTGAGTCATTACGTTCGAAATAATCGGAGTCTAATAAGACATTGGGGTTTATTTATTACAAAGTTCAAAAGTAACTGATAGTTTGTGAAATAAGGCTCGAGTTTTAACACAAACCGTCTCCGCATCAAGTAGCAGCACCTTTATACCCGGTACTTCATTGACCATCTTGTTAATATAGTTTTGCACTGCTTTTACGATGTCCATGATTTATAGCTCCGAAGTCAAATTCACCAACTAGAAGTTTCAAAGGTTGAAAAACACGAGGTGATTATTTTAATACTAAAATTTGTGCAACTCGAATTGCAGTTGAAAAAACTGCCCGAGCAATCGAAATTACACAAACATAATCAACTGATTTTTGTTAAAACAAAATGTTGCAAGTTTTGTCGAAATTTTCAACTACAAGCCTAACCTCCCGTCTCGTTCCAACAATTTTCGTTCGTTCTAATCATTCAAAGTCAAATTCAAGTTCATCCAAGTCCTCAAACTTCAATCACAGTAATTTTTTTAAAATTTTTATTTTTATTATTTTTTTTTGATTATGTTAAATGAAGAATCTAAAACAATGATTAGTAGCGACAACAACAACTACTTCGAAAATTGGACAAAATGTGGCAAAGAAACAGCGATATTTACAACACCCTGAACAACAACAACAACAGCAACAGACGGTAATAAAATATGTTCAGTATCCTTATTTCGTTAATCGAACTCAAATGAAAGAATTACCAGTTTATGTAGACGTTAAAAATGGAAGAACGCGTGTATTGACAGAGATAAGTAGAGTTGAAGGGGATGTCGAGGTAACATTCAACTTTTTGATTTATCTAATACAATGCCCTATTGCAAGCGCATTTTAATTTAATTATATTCAAATAGGAACTTTGCAATGATATACGAAAAGAGCTTTTCTACGAGTCTCAAGAGAAAAACTTAGTTAGAGTCAATCATACAAATAATCATGTAATTATTAAGGGACGACATGGCTTTATGGTAAAGGAATGGTTGGCAAAGAAAGGATTTTGATAAGATTGAATAAATTTTATCAACGTGATAAGCTGATCTATCAGCGGTAAAGTAATTTAAGACGCGTTAAATATCGCATATTATTTAAATATAATGATTATAAAAGTTAGTGTTTGGTTTTTCTCTTCTTTGGTTTAACTTCTTCTATATCTTCCCAAAATTTCTCTTCCTCTGAATCGTCTTTTTCGGCTTCTTTTTTGCTGTATCCAAGGATTCCATCTATTGTAAGATATATAATATAAGTATAGAGAAATTGAATTTCAAGAAAACACGTGTCAAATTTTACCTTCTGACTCATCAACCACCACACTAGTGAGCCGTTGTTTTAAATATATTTTTTTTACAAGTTCACGCGACGCGCCAATTTCATGTATACGCAAAAATCGGTCCATCGCAACTGAGACTAATAATGAAGATTCGGTAGCAACTGCCAAGTTTGTCACTGAACCGGAAAAACCTATAATAATTGTGATATGACAAATCACGAATGTCAAGACCAACATTTAACATAATGTAAATTCCTTTCCCTAACCCTTCCTAACCTTTAAGTTGTCCTAAAATTTTGCCTACAAATAAATTACTAGATTAATATTCGTAAACGATATAAGAAACAGACAAGTTACATTTCGTAAGTACCTGTTCTTACATCCACTGAGCAAACATTGCAAACCGTATCTGTGAAAATTATTTCACTAAAGAATTATCAAATAAATTAATCAGAAAAATATAAGAAAAAATTGATGTGAATAAAATAATTTCAAGTATATACTTTGAATTGCGGCCAACGATTAACGATACAACTGGATTATGTCCGATGTTAAAATCAGATACAGGTCGACGCTTCGCTTTTGTATCATATATTCGAATCTATACAAATGAGAAAAACTCAATGTCAAAAATTCTTTTAATTTCTCATGAAAGAAACAATTAAGAAAAAAATTTTCATACTTGATTATATTTTGTGCCAACTACAAGTTTCGTGGTTTCTTGCTCGCTGAGAAATTGTAAATCGGTAATCCATACTGGAACGCGTAAATCCAAAAAGTCATGACTAACGTTTTTTGACATCCAAACCAATCCTGGTTTTGACTCTTTTTTTTTTTGAGATTTCATAAGACAATTTCCTTCTTTGTAAGCATTTACATCCCACACCGACAATTCACGTTCCTTTCCACCACAAGCAAATATATGATGCTCTTTTGGATGTACTCTTAAACGGCACAAGTCCGGTACAAGTGTGAGGGTTGTTTCTATGGTAGATGACTGATTTAATAAATTAAAAATACGCTCTTTAAAAGATTAACTTCGCGTCAATGATAGAAAGACATTCATACTTTATCTTCTAAAATAGATCGATATTGGACTATACCCTGATCAGTACACGTTACTAATGTGCTAAAATATTTATCGTTAAAATGAATTAGTCATTTATCACAGAAATATAATAATAATGTATAACAATAATAAACCTTTACCTGTTATTTGCAAATAAACCCACGAATCGTGCACTTGTTTTTTGTTCTCCGGTAACGAAAGGTTCGGAGAATTCTTGACATGATTTACCATCTTCGTTTGGATCCAAAATGCTAATTTGTCCATTTTTTCGTGCGACTATTAACTAAATTTTGCAATTAAAAAAAAATATGTAATGCATCGATGATGATTATTAATTTACACTAGAAATTCAATAATACCTTCTTATTATCTCTGGTATAATGCATTAATTGTATGCTTTTACTTCGATCGATTTTTCCCCAGGTTTTTACAATAGGAGAAGCAGCAGCATTCTCTTTTAAGTTTTTTGAAATTGTAATTGCTAAAGAAGAAATGTATTAATTGATAATTTTATCTCTGCTAATTTCGGTAAATATGTAATAAATTTGAATACATTTAACAAGTCCACTTTCATCTCCGGTAAATATATTCATTTTTCCAAAATATGATGAAAATTTTGTGATAAAGATCGATTTTATTTTTTTTTTGATCTTAATATGCATCTGCACCTAATCAATACAATTATTTATTTAATTTAATTTTTTTTTTTTTTTGACCCCGATACCTATTATAATGTCGAATATTATAAACACAAGTGCAATTAATGAACCGATTCCTTTTCACCAAGATAACTTCGTTCAAGCAGTACGAACCTCTTGTCGTAACTGTCGAGAACGAAGTCACATTCAAGTATATATCATTCTTTGAGTTTTGAAACAGGCCAAAAAGAGATCATATAAAATTTCTATAATTTGATAGATAAATGAAGACGCGATAACAGATTTTATTCAAAACATTGATCCTAGTCAATTTCAAGAACTTTCAAGGAGCGATGGATTACAGGTAAAATCAAATACAAACATTTGATTTATGTATTGATAACTGTAAGAACCTTATGAGCTTTATAATTATTAGATGCCGCTAAAATTCGATAATTTAGAGCAAGAATTAAACATTATAGGATTAATCAGTTTATTGAATTTTGGAAGTGGATTTCGTAAAGAATTGCACGAAGAATGTGGCAGGGTAAGCTTAGTCTCATCGTATCATTCATAAAGATTTCCGTTTTATTCTTTTACTTAATATATTTGTGATTATCTCAGGGTGCTTTTAATACGATTCGTTATGGAGTTATGTCCATTCACATAACATCATCCCCATTATCTGCACGTGCATTACGATCATTGACACTCTCCGAGGTCTCCTCCTTCTTTCAGATACCACTGAATGTTGAAGTTTCTCATCCAACAATTGAAGCGATCAAAATTTCAGAGCATTCGAAATCACGACGTTTAGCGGAATTAATCACATGGACGCTAAATGATACCGGAAGAAGACTAGAAGAATTTGGTTTCAAAAGTTTTGCGGAATTCATATTGGAAGCTGCTAAACCAGTGAGTCCAGATGAAAAGTCCAAAGCATCCAAATTTGTTGAGAAGGTTTGTGACTTTCATGAAACAAACTTATCTTTCACTTTGATATGTAAAATGTATGACTCACTTTTGATTCTTCCAGTTAGTTCGAGCTTTTCCAGCTTTTCAAGACATGACAAAAGTTGACGGAGAGCGTAAGATTTAAGTTAAAATTCTTTAATTAAGTCTGTATAGATTTATTCATCAGTTCTTTCTTTTACAATATAGAGGTGTACATATTTAAAAAAGCGCAACTTCTCGCCGCTAATCTTTATCGTCATTTCCATTCTAATACCCAAACAAATAACTTTGATTTCTCTGACATATCTGACCTTACTGTATGTGCTGATAATGATATGTCGACAATTCTATATCATTTTAAGATCATCAATGTAACACCATTGCTTAAACAATATTTGGATGGAGAAGAGATCACAAATATTCAAGATGCAACTCGTTTGCGCGCTGCTGTTGTAGACGCTTGCGAAATCATCGTATCCCGAGCCAAAGAATCAGGACGAAATGAAATTAGTTTAATGGATTTGAATGAATATATTTGGAGAATAGGAAAAGATGAGAATTTTAGAAAATTAGGGAGACCAATCTTTCGGGATACTATGTTCTTTTAAGCATTTTATATTCAATTTGGAGTTGTGTACAAAAGCGTAATGATTTTTAATTTATGAAAAGAATTAACGAATACGTTTATTAGTGAAAGATATATTATCAACTTTCTATAAGAATTTTTTACAAAGAAAAATCTTTTTTTTTGAAGTAAATAAAATCTATTTTTTTTTTAACTGCAGAATGTTAATCTAGTATTTTGTTTTTTTTCCACCTTTACGCTTTTTTATCTTTTTATCACCATCCTCCCTACGTTCACTATCGCTGCTAATAACTTCTTTCTCGGGTGTTTTTAAAGAATCGGTAGTATTGGAAGATTTTTTTTTGGTAAATGTATTTGCAATATTTCCATAGAACCACTTGGGCAAAATAAAAATCATCACATCAGTTACTTTAGGTTGATCAATTTCTTCTTCATCCAACACGTATTCTATTCCATCTTCAGCTAATAAAGCAACATAATCGCCTTCGACTACAAATGCTAAATCATTTACATAAACACGCTTTCTCGTTTGTTGCTTTTTCATTCTTTTTCCCCAAGCAATTTCTCTCGATTCTTGTTTATAATAACGAATTCTTCTTTTTTCTTGATAGTAATTTACCCACATTACCATATAATGCAAAAATGAACCTAATACTAATAATCCTGTCAAAACGGTTCCTAGTCCGGGTCTATATCGTTTATAATAATATCCAGTACCACGCCACTTTGGCACTCCATTTTTTAAGAAGAAATTGTACCGTTCCCTCATATCTGGATTACGTAAAATTGTCGTAATGGCGCCTAATCGAGAAAACCTTTCTTTGCTATTGGCGTCATGATTTTTGTCAGGACTATGAAAAAGAGATGAAAATATTAGATTAGAAATCAGCAAGTTTAATAATTTTTTATTATAAAGGTAGACATTCTTACTGTAATGCAAGTGACAATTTTCTATATGCTCTATTAATATCTTTTTCTGAGGCAGTAGGTTCTAAACCAAGCCAGGAGTAAAAGTTTACATCCTTTCCCTCAGAAGCTTCTAATTCGTCCACTAGTGTAAATATTTCGTGATCCTCTAAAAATATTAAATATTTAGTAAACCCTTTTCCAAAGTTTTTCAGGATTATCAACCATCGACAAACCTCAATAAAAATTTCAAAGTACATACCATTATCCCAAGCTTTCGCATATGGTAAAAGCACCAGGATCAAAAAGAAGACCAAAAAACCAAAGGTAATAAAACGATTCTTTGAAGCCATAATCTACTCAAAGAACCATTAAAAAATAATGAATGAATGCTTATGATTTTTCCTTTTTCTGAACAAGTATGAATTTTCTGCAGCAAATAATTTTCGTTTCCTATTTATAACCGATCATTTATTTTTAGTTTCACATAAATTACATTTTTTGATAATCACACATTTGTAATTCTTTTAAGATAGTAAGTTGATTTTTATAATTTTTCGTTCGATAATAATGTTTTGTATGATGAATCCATATTCGGTAATTTGCGTTCGAATACCATCTTACGCGACATACGCCTAATGTCAATATGCGAGGATGTTGTGATATGTGAACAACTACCTTTCTGAAGAACGAAAATTTTTTTATTTTATTTAATAAATAACGTAAATTTTCGCTTTAATTTTTTTTTTTTTTTTTTCCTGAATAATATCAGATTGTGATATAATTAATCTTTGGACTTCATTTTGGCAAGTTTAATTTTTTATTTTCCGAAAACCTTATTAATTGAAATAGTATGATAAGTTTTTTCAATAAAATTTCCTTAAAATTATAGGTTGAGTTGTAATTATCAATCATGACGCAATTGAATGAACCTCGAATCAGAGGTTTGGGAACCCTTCATGTTATTCCGGATGATATATTTTCAGAACATGTTTTGACCAAATTATCCGATCAGGTTTGTATGTTTAAGATTTCAATATATATATATATATATATATATATAGTATTTTACTTGACTAAATTTATTTTTATTTCATAATTAATAAGGATTTAGCTCATTGTGCTCGAGTATCCCGTTTTTTTTACGTATTTTCGCGCGATGATCAGCTCTGGAAAAAGCATTGCTTGGATAAATGGGGTAGCGATCATGGAGTCATGCAAAATTTTATGTATCGTGGAACTTGGTTGCTTACTTATTTATTCCCAACCATGTTGAACGAAATTGACGAGGCAAAGGTTTGGGCACATCCATTATGTCGACTTTTACAATTTCCTGGTAAATATCATGATGATTGAATTACTTCATTAAAATTATTACTCTGTCATGTTTTTGAATCAACCAATTACTTATTGCGGTATGTAGAAATTACGAGTCATTATCTATATGCAAAATGGTGTCGTTGTAATATGTTTCTTGGCAATTTTGTACCGACACAAAATTCTTCATCAGACTCGAAAATTTCTATAGAAAATGGAATGGAATTGACAAAAGAAAAGTTTGAGAATTTATATGATGCACAGTCAGTTCCAGCTTTGATAAGAAATGATGGTGTTGAAAAGTGGAAAGCTTGGACTGATTGGAAATGGGAACCCCTATTAAACAAGGTTTGTATCGTATTTTTTTTTTTTGAATTTGATTTGTGTATCACGTGACTTTACATTAATATTTTTTATAGTATGGTAAGACCATATTCCGAGTAGCTAATGAAAGAGGAGGAAGACATCGATATCTACCGATGTCCTTAGAATCATATGTACGCTATATACGTTTACAACATGACGAAACACCTTTATATATTTTTGATGCTAGCTTCGCTGATAAAGAGCCGGAAATGGCTGATGCATACGAAGTGCCAAAGTATTTCAAAGATGATTTTTTTTCTGTTTTATCGGATAAAAGACCACCATATCGATGGGTTATAATCGGTCCTGCAAGGTCAGGTGAGATTTGATTCTTTTCTTCTAATCTCGCTTGATTCTTACGGTGCAAATAATGCAAGTTTTGTTGTATTCGTCTTTTTTAGGTGCGTCTTGGCATGTTGATCCCGCTGGAACATCAGGTTAATATCTATTGAATTCAAATTTTCTCGTTATGTATGTAACCAATTAATCCTTGCTTTTCAAATTTTTTTATTGGTTAGCTTGGAATATAACCATCGAAGGAAGGAAACGTTGGGCATTGTATGTTTAAATTTCAATTGACAGATATATATGTTTGTAATTTAACTCTTTCTTGAATTATTCTGAATCGTTAGGTATCCACCACACATTTTTCCTCCAGGTAAAGATTAATTTTTATTATAAGAGAACCAAAATAATCACTTCTCCTATACGACTATTTTTTTCTAAATATTCTTAATTTATATATATTTTAGGGTTAAGCGTATCTCGAACTGGTAATAACGGTCATCAGTCACTATATAATACTGATATACTTGATAATGCAAAGGATTCAGCAACTTCTTTATTTTGGTTCCTTGAAGTTTATCCTCAATTACCACCGGAAATGCGACCACTCGAGATTATACAAGAACCCGGGTAATTAGTAAGATTCATTATTAGAAGCGCAAAGTTAACCTTTTTATTCTTAAATTTAATTATCGACATTTTTGTTTTTGTTTTTTTGTAGGCAAACTATTTTCATTCCAAGGTAAATCACAAAAGATATAACAAGTATTGCGCGTAAGTAGATGACTTAGGCCTTTCTTTATATTAACAGTCTTCTTTTCTTGGTTGACGATTTATAGTGGTTGGTGGCATATGGTAATAATTTTTTGAATATCGACTTTGTTTTTCCCTCATCTAAAAGTCTAATTTATTAATTACGATCCTGCTCTAGGTCATTAATATTGACGATACCGTTGCAGTTACTCAAAACTTTGTCAATATTCATAACCTTGAACATGTTTGTGAATCTTTGATTAGTGAAAAAGACAAACATAATGCATGTAAAACAATTTCATTTAGTTATTTAAATGTTCATTTCATTTATATTCAGTAATAGAATATAATTTGCTTTATTTTTAATCAGATGTGGGAAACTTTTCATGAAAAAATGCTAAAAACTTACCCTTATCTTGAACCATTTATTGCGCGTAAAGTCTCTATATTTTCAGATACAACTGATGATCCGGTTATAAAAGAGGAAGGATTTACTTCCAGAATGGATTTTCTTGAGGGATTCCGAGATATAAATTATTGGCATCCTAGAGTAATTGATATATTGGAAAGATGTTCGTTAGATAAAAATGTTCCGATAGAAGTTATTTCACACGGACAGAATCCAGTATGTATATTCATTTGTAAGGATAACTTGACACTATAAATTTTATACTAAACGTTTTATTTATAAAATCTACCAGGTTTTCCGAAGTCCTACAGCAATAATAAAATTTTATTCTCATATATTTAATGGAGTCAAAACTTTTAACGCCGAAATTCAGACTTATTCTATAATTACTGATCATATTCCCGAGAGATATAAAGGATATTTCTCGAAAATTTTAGGGTCAGGTTATTTATTTAATGAAAGCATCGAAAGAAATTATAGATGGCCTTACATTGTATTTGAATCCGCCACTGATGGTGGAATAAGTCTCGCTGAAGTTATTGCTGGAGGTGGTTCGAGTCCGAGTAATGAAGTGATCGACTTTTCTGTTGAAATACTTCATGGTACATCGAGATTTCAAGAAAATACATCATTTTGCTTTATAAATTATGAATTTTTAATTGACTATTTTATCCTTATTAGCTTTACATAGTTTACCATCCGCTTGTATTCCGGAAAATACGAAGGGAACAACGCCTGAACATCCATTTCATCAATTTATTCAACTTCAAATATCACGGGCATCGAAAGTTCATTCTGGATGGTTGATATTTCCACTTCATTTAATTTCACAAATTTCCTCATATTTACCATCTTCATCGTATGAATTGCATAATTCGGAACTTGATGGACCACTAGCAGGTATCTTACATGGTGATTTGAATGCCGAAAATATATTAGGTGTCGTTTTACCCTCCGCGGATTCTTCAAACAACCTTGACCATAATCATCAAGAGCATCGTAATAATTGTTCAGAAGATGATGATGACGATGAGCTATTGGGTTATTGGACACCTACGACGATCATCGATTTTGGTGATTCGCAAGTATATGGAGGTGATCCATTGTTCGATTTGATACCAATTTATATTTCAGTATTAAGATGTTCAAAATTATTGTTGAAGGGATTCATAGAAAAATATAATAATGAAATCGGAGGTAAACAAAAAATATCGTTAAGAATGTTTAAAAGAAGAGCAATGTGGTACACTTTATTATGGGAATTTGAAGGAGCTGTGAGGTATTTAATTGGTCATTTTCCTAATGTTAGAGAATGTAAAAATTGGGAAGAAGTTGAAGATTTGGTGTGGGGAATTGAATAATTAATTTAAATGTAAAAAAAAAAAAAAATCATTTATTTAATTTATTTTATTTTATTTAATAAGTTTGTCTATGAAAATTTTAATTAAAGTATGATTTATATTATATATTAGTATCTATGAATTATTTTTTAAAGTATAAATTTATACAATATATATATATATTAAAATATTTTTGCTCTTATTGTACACTATAAATTAATGTGTCGTGTCAGATTAAGAAACGAATGAAATTAAAAAAGAAAACATTTAAATAATGAATGATAAATGAACAAGAATCCCAATTAAAAAACGTATTATGCAAACTCAAATATTTTTACAAGAGGAATAATTACAAAAAAAAAAAAAATAAAAATAAATGAAATGATGATGATTTAAATTCTATAAACCATCACAGACGGTACGGTAAAGATAAAATGAAAATGAAAAATTCGCTCTAAAACACGAGATAAAAACCAATTATTTCGAACTCAATTGAATAGTCAAGTCCATGTTCTTTTGCAAGACCTGTTAATAAATAAAATACGTTAAAATACAGCAAATCAAACTCACGATACAAACAATGATAATTGTTAATTTTATTACCTCTTGATAATGCGATTCCAAAGTCCTGAGCCTTTTGTCAACATCTCGTTTTTCACGTGACAATTGTTGTTTATCATTTATTGCTTCCATAAGATCCTCTTGTGATAGTGCAAGTTTTTCTGTTAATCGATCACAATCTACTTGCGATTCTTTCAATGTATTCTCCAATTCTTTAAGTTTCCTTTCCAAATCAATTAATTTGCTTGAATCAACTTTTCCAACATCATTGATCTGTCGCTTTTCTAAGGACTCTATACGCATTTGCATTGTCTTGGAAAGTTTTTCAAAATCTTCTTCATATTGCTTCTTAAGAGAATTAATTGCATTTTGATGACTGTGGATAAGTTGATCTTTTTCTTGAGCCTGTTCTTTTTGAATTATATCAAGTTTATTACGAAGCCCGGATATGGTTTTTTCAGCTTGCGCTATTGATTTCTCGGCTTTCTGTATAGCATTGTGCTGCTCATCATCAGCTTCCGAAAGTTTCTTATTAAGTGACGCGATTTGCCCTTCAAGAACTTCTTTTGATATTTTATAAGTCTCTAACTGTTTATTAAGAGTCGTAATAGTCGTTGTAGCATTAGAAAGTCGAGCATTTGCATTTGCATCATCCTTATTTGCAGAACTTCTTTTATGCGTTTCTACAATATGTTCCTTTTCGATCAGTTCTTGTCGAAGTTCTGTAACCTGACCATGTAGTTGTTCAATTTCAACCTGCGAATTAGAAAAGCGGCTTTGAAGCTCACGTACTTGATTATCTGCACTTTGTCTAGTTTGTTCAGCATCTAATTCGGCTGCTTTCAATTTTGTCGTAAGACGATATGTTGATGCTTCAAGACTTTCGATACGCGTTTCCAATTGTTTTTTGACTGTTTCCAATTGACATATTTCCGTTTCTTTCTTCTCGTATTCAATTTCAATTTTATTTAGCTTAGCTGTAAGTTCATCATCACTTTGTACACCAGAACCATTGGATAATTTATTTTCTAATTCTTCCTTTTCCTTAATAAGATGAAGAATACGTGATTCATCTTCTTCTTTTATTCGAATTGAATCTTTAACTTGTTCATTTAACCTATCCAACTGTTTCTTGGCATCTGTAAACTGACTTGATCTTCCATTATTTTCTTTCGATATGTTTGACAAATCGCCTTCAATTTTTGTCTTTTCAATCTCCAATTCACGTACTTTAATTACTGCTGCCTCCTTTTCCTTACCAACGGCAATAATTTTTTGTTCCATGGCTTGTTTTTCGGAACGTAGGATATCCAACTCAGATTCTTTCATCTTTAATTCAGACTCAATAGACTCGTAATGAGAGATAATTTCTGCTTCTTTTTGTCGCCATTCCTCACGAGCAGAAGCCATATCCTTCATTAAAGTTTGCATTCCACTTTGTTGTTCTTCCAAAGCTTTTGAGAAAGCTTCATTTTGCTTCTTGGCAATTTGTAATTCTTCGGATATTTGTTCAGAATCCCTAGAAAATGATTTTAAGTTAAGATTTTCATCCTGTAAATCAGTTACTTGGGAAAGTAAAGTAGCCCTTTCCATTTGTGATTGTTGAAATTCTTCCCTTAAATTTCTATATTGAATCTCCCATTTTTCCTTCATAATCGATATAACTCCTGCTAACTTGTTACGTTCTCCCTTTAATTCCTCAACTTCACCTTTCATCGTTAAACTCTCCTCATGTAAACGCTGCGATTCTTCTTTAACGTTATCTAATTCTGAAGTTAATTGTTGTGTTTCTGAATTAAGTTTCTCCTTTTCTTTTTCCAATGTCTCATTCTTTTGTTCAAGTTCTTCAACTTCTTTGCGTAATTTTATGAGGTCATCCGACAATTGCAGATTTTTTTGAACATACTGCTTATATTTCGTGTTGAGTTCCGAATAAGATTTTTCCTCAGATTCAAGGCGACGACTGGTATCTTCTATAATTTTAACACTTTCCAAAAGTTTACGTTCAAGAGTTTCATTCTTATTCATTAATTCGGCAATGTTTGCTTCATGTTCTTCCTTCAATTGTGATTGTATTGATTCGAATTCATTAGAGCGGCCCTTTTCCATTTCTTGCTTAATGAAACGCTCGCGTTCTTCATTTACTTTAACAAGCTGTTCTTGAAGTTTCCCAAGAGCTTGCTCATGTGATGATGTCAATTCTGCACGTAATGTAGCAATCGCCTCTTCGCGGTCTTTTTTATGACAATCTTCCAATTCAAGAAGCTCTTTATTTTTCTGTTTAATCTTCTCGTCTCCTTCTGTTCGAATATTCTCAAGTTGGCTCTCCAGTTTTTGAATTCGCTCCTCTTTATCCGATATTAAACTTTCCAATTTCTCATAACTTTCTTTAACCTTGTTAACCTCTGTATCCCGATCGGATAATTTGAGACGTAAATTAGACAATTCATTATTAGCATCGTTTAGTTTCCCATGTAATTCTTCTGACGCCAAAACTGCATTTTCTTTATTATCTAATTTATTTCTGAGTTCTTGAAGAAGCGTATTTTTTTCAATTTCGTTTTGTTTTATTATTTCATTAAGTTTAGATTCGGCTTCGGTTTGTAATTTTGAAAGATTATTTTTCAACTGTTTTTCATGTTCTTCCCTTAATAATTCCTTTTCCCTCTCATGATCTTGCTTCATAGTTCGTTTTTCATTCTCAGTATATTCTTTAAATTCTATCAATTCACTTTCTGCTTGCTCTTTTAATACATTTAATTTCTCTTTTTCTATAATTATTCTATCTCTTTCAGCATCACATGCTTTCTTTAGTTCCTCATTTTGATATCTATGTGATTTAATTAATTCCATACGAATCCTTTCTTCATTCTCTTTAAATTGTTCAGAAAGTTCTTTTCTTGTTCTCTCTAATTCACTCCAATGTTCGCTTGTTAATTCTTGTCTTGCTTTCTCTAGGTCCTCATCATTATATTTCCTCTCCGATTGAATTTCCGTACTATCTACACTACTATTTGCTTCACATGATGGTACCCGTGAACGGGAAACAGAAGAAGTAGAATTATGAGTTGTAAAAGTAGTAGTAGTACTTGCATCTGAAAAAACGTCTGAAAATTGTCTTGAAGATTTTGTGTCAGAAGATGATCTTTTGATATTATCATCTTCAGCTTCATGTCGACTTTGACTTTCTCTATTCTGTGAAGGGGCTGTGGTAGCTTGTTTCTCTTCCAATTCTTTTCCCACAGTTACTATATCATCCTCTAAAGCAGAGATACGAGCCAATAATGCTTCAGTACTAGTAGGTTGAGGTTGTTCTGAATTTTTCGTCAGGTCGATGGCAGAATCTTTTCTATTTGGATCAGTATAAATGGAATTAATTTTATCGGTGGTTGGAGAAAGACTTTTCTTTTCGGGTATAATGGAGGAGGTGGAGGTGGTGGTGGTGGTGGAGAAAGTGGAAGAAGAGGAGGAGAGGGAGGAAGTTGAAGAGGGAGTGATATTTTTTTCAGAGGCAGTAATACTAGTATTAGTATCTTTTAGTTTTTTTTTTTCAAAGGTTGAAGGATTATTATTATTATTATTTTTATTTGAATTTAACTCAAATCCTTTATTAAGATTTTTACGTTCAAATTTTGCCCCTATTGAATTTTCATTGTTCCTAAATGTTCCCTTGGTTTCAAACTTTGCTGATTTGTCCTTTACTGAAGGACCGGCCATGGTTTCAAACATACGTGCCGCAGAAAGGACGGAAACCTTGCTTGATAATTTAGGCTTTGTTGAAAGTTCCTTCGAACCAAGTTCTTCGGTTTTACCCGTCCCTTGAGTAGCTGCCATTTTTACTTACAAAATAGGGAAGTAGAAAAGGACTTTAAAACAATAAAAAAAAAAAAAAAAAAAAAAAAAATTATATATATAAAAAAATAAAAATGTAAAAATGTAAAGAATGAGAAAATGAAAAAATGTGAAGCGTGATATTTATTTCGTGAATTGCATTACTTTGCATTTAGTTAACTTACTATATCGAGATTGAGATTTTTTATCGAACCATAAAAGTTAATATTTATACATAAAAGTTTGTATTAAAAGAAATTACCAAATACCAATTGATACATAGTAAAGTGTCACACAGAAAATCATTTAAATATAATCAAAATCGTAGAACCAACAGTTTGGAATTCAGGGCCATTTTAATTCTTCAAAACATATAACAATGGATAGTCAACTAACCATTTCAAGGAAACCGATTTTTTTTTTTTTTTCCTTTATTCACCGTCAAAAAGATAAATTAATCAAAAAAATTAGTCAAAATTTTTTTAAAAAAAAAGAATTTCAATCTTTTTTTTTTTTTTTTGTTTTTTCATCCTTGGGCGTTTATATTCTTCCCCCATTCGTGCTTTCTTCGGCAAATTTCACCTTCCTCACAGAAGCCACCTACCATGAATTCTTTACAATAACTTGCT